AGGCCCCAAGAAGCATCGCCGGGAGCATCGATCGTGCCTCGAACCACAAGACCAAGAAGCAGGCCCCAAAGAACCGGTACCAATCGACCCGCAGGAGCTCGGTCCTCGGCGCTGGAATGACCCGCCCCCAGGCCCCGCAGACCCTGTCTCCTCCCAGCGTTGCCAAGAARCTCTCCGTCTCACCCCCCCAGTCGGGTTCTACCGCTGYCACGACGCTGACGGGAGCCTCGCCCTCGTCGTCGTCGTCCCAATACGGCACCAATCCCCCCAAGCAGCCTTCSTCCGGGACCACCTATAGCGATCGCATTCTCCAGGCCTCGGCCAAGTCGCAGACCAACAAGATGGCCTCGCTAACCCAGTACCTGAGGGAAGAAGACGGACAGCCCCAGAGGGAGCCACGGATCGCCATCCAGCTGCCCGCGAACCTCCTCAAGATCCCCTTTGACGACCGGGACAACGAAGAGGACAAGAAAAAACAAGAAGAGAGCGACAGGATGAAGCTCAAGTTCAAGTCCGTCGTGAAATCCGTCAAGAAGCAAGCGACGATGATGAAACTTTGGACCGCGAGTRCCAAGGCCCAGGGCGAGASCAGCAACGATGGTTTTGACGGCGAGCRATCCATGAGGTTTCCCTCCGTCGGGGGGGGAGGCGATGTCTATGTCGGTGGCAGCTACTGCGACCTGGATGCCTCCGAGCGGACCAACCTCTCGTCGGTGACCGGCTCCTTTGGCCCGGTTGGCAGCAACAACCACAGCAACAACCACAGCAACAACAACAGCAACAACAACAGCAGCAACAACAACAGCAGCAACAGCGTACTCGAATCCGCGACCAAGGCCTTCGGGGCACAGGTCCAGGCTTCCAAGAGGCAGTCCATGGCGGCCTCGCTCCTGTCCACTCCGTGGAAGACCACCAAGAAACAGATTCGCCGTCTCTCGCTGTCGGCCAGCCATACCAACAACAACCACAACAGCGACAGCGACAACTGCAACTGCAACTCCATGGCGGCGGCGGCTGCCACTGCCACGGCGATCGCCCTCGGGGAGGAGTCGGACCACGAAGYGGACCACGAAGCGCATTCGGGGTCCGCGTCTTCCCTGAACGCCAGCCCGGGCCCGCACTCCTACGAACGCACGGGATCCAAGAGACTGGTCCACGAGCGGGACCGGCACAGCCCCTCCTCCCAKGGAACGCAGCGGTCCGGCAGCAGGAGAAGCATTTCGGCCCCGGCCCCTCCGTTCCGGGAGGAAGGAGACCGAGAACGGGAAGGAGGASGACGGACGTCGCCCCAGCCGCGGGGGCGCAGGTCGGAAGACAGGGTTCGCCGGGAACGCAGGAATCGCCGAGCCGAGCACAGGAGGCAGCAACGGCCGAGGACGTCCCGGCACAGAGCCGAACGCCGGAGGCAGCGSAACGAGGAACGCAAGACCTCGCCGMAGATCGCCATGCTCTTCAGCGAGACCGAAAAACAAAAAACAGTCCCGCTKGAGGAGACGACRAAGGAATCCTCCATCTCCTCCAYGGATGCTTCCGCGGAGCTCATGGCGATCCTCAACAGAGAAGAGAAGCGGAAGAAAAGCAGCCGGATCCGTTTTGCCCACGAAGAGGAAYGCAGAACGACCGCTTCGACGAGGGAGAGCGGACCACCCAGTCGCACAAGCGCGAGWCGGAAGGTTTCGATCGCGTAAAGCACCAGCCGTGCGGTGCGGTTTTGCGCAACATGCCGGTCCTCCTYCGCTACGGTGGATGCAACGGTGCCTCCGACACAACCCGTGTGTCCGATGCGCGCCACCTTGATTTTAGATACTGTGCCACCGTACGGTCCTTTTTGCGTCTCGTCCATTTTCGTCGTCGCATTCACAATTCACATTCACCATAGATAAAGATAATTTTGATTTTTGTGACCAACCAAAACCGTTTTGTATTGCCCGTTCGGAAAATCACGAAGTAGGTTGCAGGGCGGTTTCTGTTCGACCAAATAATTCGATTTTTTTCATTCCATCGTCTCCATTTCCCTCTCCCTCCCCCTCCACACGCAAAAACCCGTCCCGAAATATATTTTTTATTGTTGTTCCTTTCTACTGGAGAGGTGAAGTCAAGGCGAGAATTTCTATTTGTACTGGAAAATCTTCCAGCACCAACGACCACGACCGCATACCACAGCAGTCCTTCTGATTAGATCACGAGTTGCTAGTGAATAGTAATAGTGAAACAACAACATAGGATGATGCGTACCTACGTACGGTACTACATGGTACTGTACCTAGCGAACGACGACAGCAAGGAAAGCCTTGCATTCGGCGTGGCAACTGTCGGTCATCACCACATGACCACTGCATTTTTGCCGTACAAAGAGAACACCTCAAGAATCCCTGCCTTAGTGCCGGTAGTAGTAGCGATGTACGGAATCTTCTTACCACCCCGAACGGTTTACGTTTTGGGACCACCGGCCTTCGATTCGTTTGGAAGTTAAAAATACTACCGTACGTTCTGAAATTTGTACTTCTTGTACAGTAGTACGGTACTGCCGGAAAATTCCCCAACCACTCACTTAAGGACTGATTGAACTGGTACCGTTTTTTCGAAATGAACCTGGACATTCCGATCACGATTTACGGCATCGTACAGTACGTACGTACGTACGTCCAAAGCTGTTCGAGCCGATACGAAGCCCTCCATATCATACATCTGCCAAAAATTATCAGGAAGAGTAAGGTACAAGTACGGTACTTACCGTACGATAGGAGACCAGACGGTGGTCGGAGTCAACCGGTCCGGTGCGCTGGCTGCCACCTGATCCTGACCTTTCAACTCGAGATAAAGGACCAAGGACTCCCAGCAATACCCGTGCTGTGGTATATACGATTGTTGACGATGTCTACCGGAGGATTGCTCCATTTCTGTGTTGGAAACTTGCTGAAGAGAAATTGGAACCGCTAATCATCTAGCTKTCCGGTTTCAGCTGACAAGAAAGAGGAAGACTGAAATAATGTTTTACACGAAACGAGCTTCCCTATTATTGTTATTGGATTAGTTTAGAGCGCATCTTCAATGCTTTCCCTCAACCATGGATCACGGACAATGAGTCCATCGTAGAATCCATCCAACCAGTAGCTCAAAAAACCWAACCATCATACATTTGTTCACGATGACATGCAGTTCCCGATGTCGGCGCACACCGTTGCATTCCGAAAGACGATCCCAAAATGAATCGGCAATACAGAACCAGAGGGCAAGATTTCTCCTGCCTCRTCAGGTTCCCGACACCCGGGAAAAACGAACGAAATGAAACATGTTGTCTTGTGCGCACACCAAATTCACTACTTAGGCGGTGGAAATGAAGGTGGTAGTAGAGGATGAAGCTGAGGTTGGGGCGGCAGTGGGGGCGGCAGTGGGGGAAGCCGAAGGAGCTGCGGATGGAGCTGCCGATGGTTCTTCCGAAGTAGGAGTTCCCTTCTTTTGCCTCTTGGTGGGGGCAGCAGTGGGGGCGCTGGTCCCCTTTCCCTTCTTCAAAACACGAACGGCGTTGGGTCGTGCCTCGTTCTCGACAAGGATAGTGGCGTTGGCGAAGACGGCCATGAAGATAACAAGGAGGATGGTGGATCGGAACATGATGAAGTTGGGTTGGTAGTTGTGTGGTTGGAAAAAGATTCGAACAAGATCGTGGTTTTTGTTTTATGAGAGTGKGGAGCTGGTTTTTACGGAAGCACTGTTGCAAAGGGTTGATCAAATCGTCATTTTTCAAACATCGAAGCGTCGYACGCTCACGCGTGCATCTTTTTAGACAAAAATGTTCCGACACGCGAGTGCGACCTAAATTTCCCACCGCGGGTCAGGCTTGCATCGCTCGCCATAAATGTCTACAATTAGCGAAGAAAGATCCATACTGTCTTTCAACGGAAAGTTCAAAACGACCCCTTTAAGTGTTGATCGCGTAAAAATGACTTTTATTYTTAAAATGACCATTTCGAAATGATCCAGGATTGTGGGGGTTATGTGCAATCGTGCCAATTTTTGTCTTCCTGGAGTGGTATGATGCGTTTCAACGTTGCTTCAACGTTGCTTCACCGTTGCAACTGATGGGCTGAACCACAATAMTGCATGCGTTAGAATCCGACCTACGAAGGGTTGTACGGTACAGTTGTCGGATCGCTTGCAATGAAAAATACTTCTAGTTTTTTKTTGCCGTTATAATTTTATTGCATTCTATCTTTTTAGTACAAACATGAAATATTATGATGATGATGTCGGAAGTTCGAGACCTTAGAATTAACGTTGGAAACAGCATGCCCGTGCAAAAGAAGCCAATGACTTGTGAAATAGTCGGAGTTGCAAAATGATGCTTGATTTCTAATAGGAACAGATCGGTTGAACGAACTCCAAAACTCGATTTCTGAAAACACGCGTGGACTGAAATTTAAGCATACTGGGCGATTCCAGTTAATCTAGATGGTCTCTTTTCTGATAGACAGACAGACCACAAAGAGACCATCTAGCCCAATTTTTTAGACTTTCTGTCAATGGGTCATTCCCGTTAGTCTAGAAAGTCTAAATATTGATAGACAGACAGACCAAAAATAGACCATCTAGTCTCAATTTTTAGACTTTCTGTAAGCCCCCCCCCCGCCTTACAGATTTCTAAATCTAGACCAGAATCCAAGAATGAAAATTGGTCGCATGACTCCTCATTATTATCCAATAAAAATTCGTTGCGCGCTTTTCTAGTTTTAGTCATTTCTGTTGAGATTCCGGATTCGATTAAAGTAGAAGAGGGCCTAAAGAACTGTCCGTTGGGACCCTGTTTTCAATGATTCCCGTTAAACTAAAAAGTCTAAACTAGACCATTTAGAATTTTAGACCATCTAGACTATCGGGAATGACCCAATGCACGACTCACCCTTGACAGAAAGTCTAAATCTAGAATGGAATCCAAGAATCAAAATCCGTTGTAGCAGGACTCACCTGAAAAGGCCTGCCAAATGTAAGACTAAAAAATTTACTAATGGAAGGTGCCTTAGTACTAGTAGTAGTAGGCACCAGCGCTATTGTCATAAAGTAGTACTAGTAGTAGACAAGAAGAACGACGACAGCAAAAACAGCAATGTCACCTGTCTTAGTCTTGGTACAAGCAGCATGGCTTGACATGTCGAGAGGGGAGGCAATCCCCTTCACAATATTCATTCCACAACAAGCAAAGATGTTGACTGCCCCCCCCCAGCACCACCAGTCCCTCCCCCACGGAGGTCAATCGAAAGTAGAGGGGTTGGGCCATCATAAGGCCAGTACTGCAAACTACTTGGAAGACAAGCTTACCTCATTGATGACTCTCATGAAGAAGATCTCTTGTTTGAACCAGTCTTCTGAAGACTTGATCTCGACCTTGCTGCCCAGACGCGTTGTTGTCCAAGTCTT